AATATTTCATAAAATTTGACTCAGCTTTGAATTCTATCCCATGTTTGCTAAAACAAATTTCACTCTCTTACATGATTGTAGTTTTTATTTTACATACTTTATTTCTGCCTAAAAACTCACAATACCAAGGGAACATTTCATGCAAATATGAGCACAATAAAGGACAGAAATGGTATGGACCTAACAGAAGCAGAAGATATTAGGAAGAGGTGGCAGGAATACACAGAAGAACTGTACAAAAAAGATCCTCACGACCCAGATAATCACGATGGTGTGATCACTCACCTAGAGCCAAACATTCTGGAATGGGAAGTCAAGTGGGCCTTAGAAAGCATCACTACAAACAAAGCTAGTGGAAGTGATGGAATTCCAGTTGAGCTATTTCAAATCCTAAAAGATGATGCTGTGAAAGTATTGCAGTCAATATGTCAGCAAATTTGGAAAACTCAGCAGTGACCATAGGACTAGAAAAGGTCATTTTTCATTCCAATCCCAAAGAAAGGCAATGCCAAAGAATGCTCAAACCACTGCACAACTGCATTCATCTCACACTCTAGTAAAGTAATGCTCAAAATTCTCCAAGCCAGGCTTCAACAATATGTGAACCATTAACTTCCAGATATTCAAGCTGGTTTTAGAAAAGCCAGGGGAACCAGAGATCAAATTGGCAACATCCGCTGGATCACCGAGAAAGCAAGAGAGTTCCAGAAAAACATCTAGTTCTGCTTTATTGACTATGCCAAAGCCTTTGACTGTGTGGATCACAACAAACTGTGTAAAATTCTGAAAGAGATGGGACTACCAGACTGCCTGATCTGCCTCTTAAGAAACCTGTATGCAGGTCAAGAAACAACAGTTAGAACTGGACATGGAACAACAGACTGGTTCCACATTGGGAAAGGAATATGTCAAGGCTGTTTATTGTCACCCTAATTGTTTAACTTATATGCAGAGTATATCATGAGAAATGCTTGACTAGATGAAGCATAAGCTGGAATCAAGATCACTGGGAGAAATATCAATAACCTCAGATATGCAGATGATACCACCCTTATGGCAGAAAGCGAAAAACTAACAGCCTCTTAGTGAAAGAGGAGAGTGAAAAAGTTTGCTTAAAACTCAACATTCAGAAAACTAAGATCATGGCATCTGGTCTCATCACTTCGCGTCAAGTAGATGAGGAAACAATGGAAACAGTGAGTTTATTTTTGGGGGCTCCAAAATCACTGCAGATGGTAACTGCAGCCATGAAATTAAAAGACGCAAAGAAAAGTTATGGCCAAACTAGAGAGCATATTTAAAAGCAGAGACATTACTTTGCCAACAAAGGTCCATCTAGTCAAAGCTATGGTTTTTCCAGAGATCATGTATGGATGTGAGAGTTGGACTATAAAGAAAGCTGAGTGCCAAAGAATTGATGCTTTTGAACTGTGGTGTTGGAGAAGACTCTTGAGAGTCCCTTGGACTGCAAGATCCACCCAGTCCATCCTAAAGGAAATCAGTCCTGAATATTCATTGGATAGACTGATGTTGAAGCTGAAGCTCTAATACTTTGGCCACCTGATGTGAAGAACTGACTCATTGGAAAAGACCCTAATGCTGGGAAAGATTGAAGGCGGGAGGAGAAGGGGACAACAGAGGATGAGATGGCTGGATGGCATCACTGACTCAATGGACATGAGTTTGAGTAAATTCTGGGAGTTGGTGATGGACAGGGAGGCCTGGCATGCTGCAGTTCATGGGGTCCCAAAGAGTCAGACACAACTGAGTGACTGAACTGAACTGAAAAACTCACATTTACAGGAGTCATTTTCTTCTCAGGTACATTGCTTACAAAATATTTTAAAAGGTTCAAGGATGCCAATTAAAGAATTTTATATTCCTCTGTAACTTGCAGAAAATTTAAATCCCTGAAGTTGCAGATCAGGTTATGAAATATTTGCGTTAACAAATGAAAGGACTATCAGTATCTTTAATGTCCTGTGGATTGCTAAGGGTATTAAATATTTCTAATAGTAAAATACAAATAAATATTGAAAACTGTGTCAAAGTGTTTATAAGAGACTAGAACTATACCCATGTAAATGTACAGGCTCCTAATCCCTAATCTATAATTCCCAAACTCAAACACTCTGAAAACTGACATTTATTTGTAAGTATGAGGCCATTTATAGTCTTAGTGGATTTTACATAGTAGGAATTTCTCATATTTCTTCAGAAATATGAAGTGTATAATTATATAGTGTTTCCTAGAGTTTGGCTAGAGGAGATCATAGCTTAAGTTGTACAATACATACATAACATAAATTAGGAAAATTCTGAACATTAAAACACAAGGGGTTTGGATAAGAGATTGTGTACCAGTATAATTAATTAAAAGTCAAAAATTTTAAATTTAGATGTGGCTCAGACAGTAAAGAATCCACCTGCAATGTTGCAGACCTGGGTTCGGTCCCTGGGTTGGGAAGATCCCCTGAAGAAGGGAATGGCTACCCACTCCAGTATTTTGGCCTGGAGAATTCCATGGACTGTATAGTCCATGGGGTAGCAAAAAGTCAGATACAACTGAGCAACTTTCACTTTCAAATTTTGAAGATATAATACATATTTTCAACATAATTGAATGCTATAATTAAAATATTTTCATTCCTATACCATTTAAAAGAGGTTTTATCTACACTATATATATATATAAAAATATATGAAAAATTTTCAGTTTTCTCCTCTCCCTCCCAGATATTCTAGCATTAATATTTTACACCATCTTTATAAAAGATTCACCCATGTCTTTATCATGTCACCATGATAGAGAGAAAAAATGTAAGACCCAAATTATTCTTAGAATCATCTTAATAGGGTTAGCATCAGAAACTAATAGCATCAAGCTTAAATAAAATATATAAAGATAACCTTAGGAGGGGTACCTGTATAGTCCTACACTTGGGAGCAGAGTCAACTTCTAAGAAGAGTGTGGGAAAAACACATGGTATTTTTGCAACTCAGTTACAAACTTCAGTTTTTTGCCATTCTAATGCATAATAAAAGTATGTTGAACTGGCCCCCCAAATAATAAAATAATACAATTCTAGGATTCTTCATGAAACACTCTATCCAGAAAAAGAAATGATTGCCCTATTCTGTGCTCATCACAGAAGGTAAGAAATAGTGTGATGGGTTATAAGACCGTATTTTAACAGCATTAACCAACTCAGATAATTCTGGAGGTGAGCAAGCATGATGATAATCATTCTAGAAATGACTGTATGAAGAACAGTTGTAAATACTGAAATGTCTAGTTTGAAAAATATAATTCTTGGTGAAGTATGACAGTTGCCCTTTGAAATGAACCAATAAAATACATTCTGTGTAAACAAATCAGTGTATGTCAACAGGTTAGAGTTATTGGAAATATTATTGCATCTCAACACAAAACAGACTGAAAATGAACTGGGATGGGGATCATGGAATTACCTAATGGGAACATAACAGAGCAATCTAGGAGATCGTTTTAATTCTGAAAGTCATAAATATCTCAACATCATACTACACATTTGTAGTATGGCTGGTTTAGAATTTTATCAACATTGATTATGTAATTTTCAGTTATAAAAAGATATTACCTACAAGACATAAATTTATGGAGAAAGATCAACTCTTCAGCATTTGCTGTACTGTCTTTTAAGTAAAGGGCCAATCAAACTTGTTTTTAAAAGAAAAATATCATTTATTGAGGGGTGATTATTAAAAACTTAATTCATTCAATGATGCTTCTCATACCTAAAATATGCTATTCTTAAATAAGAGAACTGACTCATTATTAAATTTGTATATAAATTAACTGAAAATCCTTAAAATATCACTTTTTTCTGTAAAATAAGTATATGACAATAATATATTAAAAATGTTATTTTTATAATATTACTACATATAGTAATATTATTATTACAATACATAATGCATATAACATGTTATTACATATCACATAAAATAATTATTTTATAAATATTTACTTAAAATTGTTAAAATCTCCCTGTGTCCCCCACCCAAAAAAAAAAAAAAAGTTAAAATCTAACAATTTTAAGTTTGTGAGAATAAAGCTGAACTTTTGCCTATTCTCCTATCTCCAAAATACTTTTCTTTTTTAAAGAAACTGGTTGAAATGTCTTTTTTGAAGGGAGGGTAATACATCAATAAATTCAATACTTTTAAGCAGTATTAACCTTTTCTAAAGAAAGACAAATAAAAACGATTGGACAACAGACTTCCAAGCACTATCATTTCCAAAGACAGACCACAAAACTGAAAATGTAAAATACATCTTTCCAAATGTCATGTGTGCTAAGTCGCTCAGCTATGTCCAACTCTTTGTCACCCCGTGGGCTGTAGCCCCCAGGCTCCTCTGTCCATGGGGATTCTCCATGCAAGAATACGAGAGGGGGTTTGCCCTTCCCCAGGGGAATCTTCCCAAGGAGGGATCAAGTCCAGGTCTCCCACGATCAGAGCCACCGGGGAAGCCCAAGAATCCTGGAGTGGGCAGCCTATCCCTTCTCCGGGGATCTTCCCAACCTAGGAATCGAACCGGGGTCTCCTGCGTTGCAGGTGGATTTTTTTTTTTTTTTACCAGCTGAGCTACTAGGGAAGCCCAAATATCATAATAGTGTTTAAAAAGCAAGAAAGAGAAAACTATCTATTTTCACACCCTGGTAATTAGAAGCTGATCAACAGGTGATCTTCCACCTCCACCAAAAAACAGATAAAATTTCCAAGAGAAACACGATTGGGACTCATGCTTCAAATCTCCCACCACCAAAGTGCCACTATTTTGTTTGAGGCAAAGTTGCATGTGAACTAATTATCTATTCTTAGTTTTTTCTCACCAAAATTTGCATATCATATCTACTAAGGGCTAAAGTAATTATCAGAATGGAAATAAAGCAAAGCTTATATCTTATCACATTTTCAGCTGCAGTAGGAAGGACAGAAGCTCCCAGGAGGCATACCTGTGGCAGGGCTGAATTGAGCTGTCTCTGGAGTGAATCTCTGTCATAGATGACATCCTGCAGTCTTTGCTGGGCAAGTGAGAGGCTTTCTTGGGTTTCCCGAAGGGTGTCTAGAAGACGGTCCCTTTCATCCAGCATGTTCACCATCAGCTGCTCAAAATGGGAGTCTGAGTCCGAGCCACTGCTTTGGGAACCCCTTTGGCTCATTGGGGTGTCCTCATTAATCGTGGGCATCACTTCACACATCATTGCTTAAATTAAAGGGGAGAGAAATCTTAGTAAAAAAAGATTTCCAATAAACCCACTTGACCCTCAGCTCACCCAACTCTCTGCAGCTCATCAGCCTCTCTCCTCTCCCCACTGCCCCAAATCCTACCATACTAAAAGTCTGACCTCAGTGAAACATGATTCACTGACTTCCTCAAACCAACATGCTTTCTCTTTGCATGACAATCTACATATCTCCTACCTACAAAAACACAGCTTGATTTCATTTACTTCTCAAAGTTTTTTTTTTTTTTTTATGATTTACCCCACCTCATTCAATTTATAATAAGATGTTGCAACACTTATTAATTGATCACCTTTCTTCCCATTCAAATTTACAAATCAGTTATAGCTAATACCTCCATCTTACCCTTATTTGTTATTACGTTGCTAAAAGCAAGCATAGTGGCTGACATTTAACAGGTAGGAAGCAAATTATGTTTACGCTACTTAAATAAATGAATGCATTTATGTTCATTCTTTCATTTAGAAGATCTGAAAATAATTGAGCATTTATGTAAAAATCCGCTTTTACTTTTTAATTTTATAAAATTTTTAATACAACTATTTTAAAGCTTCTTGACTTTACAACTCCCATTTTATTGTTACAAGCTCTCTTCCTGAATTCCTGCAGTTTTCTACATAGAGTAGATAAGTTATGCTGACTAAATTAGACACATGCTTTAAGATATAGACTGAAATGAATAAATTTGTTTAGGTCATTATACTACTAATTATACTTATTCTTTTGTTTCCTGCAAATTACTTTGTCTGCTTTCCGTCCAAACAATACAGACTAACACTCTTTCAAATATTCCACAAAACAGATGCCATAAATTACATTAGCTAATGTAGAAAGTTTACATCCTAACTGCTAATCAGAAGCAGCTAGTCATAAAATAAATGAACTCTTCAGAATATTTTAAAATTAATTTATTTAAAATAGAAAACACAGACATTAAGATATAACATTGACCTGTTGTGTAGCATTTTAAAAATCAAAAATTATCTCATTTACTCTTTTCTTTTCTTTCTTATGTTTAAGAAAACATCAAATCCATCTCAGTTTCAGTTGTACTGAAGTCAGGGGCTATTAATTAGAGGGCTTGGTTTTGCAAAAGTCTGATGTGGAGAAAGGCTGGCTTGGCTGATGATCCTGGAGCATTCTTTGGTTTTATAATACAAGGTCAATTTATTTTTCTGCCTACATAATCCTGTCCTTGGGGAAAATATTTCTGGTGATATTTTCAAATAAAATGTCAAGATTTAACAGTTCAATAGTTAATTAGTTTTTATGTAATTCTTCATATAAATTGAGTTATTGAATAGAGAAATTCAATTATCTGTGAATTATTTGATCAAGGCCCACTGAAAACTAGGAGAAACTTTTAAAAAGATAAAAGGAAGTATTCTGTGACTGACAGCCTATACAGAAGAATTAAGGCAGGGGTAAATTTTAGAAAAATTCAAAGTAATGCTTTGAATTACTGCTCCTCATTCAAAACACTGGGCTCCCTGAAGGCAGGAACTTGACTTGTTCAATTTCTTTTTCACCCTAAACTAAAACAAGTGATTCAAATAGGACATATGAATATTTAAAAACACACATGTACACACTCAATCACACTCATGCATTTGCTAATATTGTTAACCACTTAATGGTTGCAAAGAAATAATTTTTATTTTTCTCAACCTGAATTTCATTCAAACAATTTCACAAAGGTGGGAAAAATGAGACTCTGTTATAAATTTCTTTACATTAATTAAAAAGAAGTTGGAAAACAAATAAACAGCTCCAATACATTTGAATATTTAAAGCAGTTGTTTCACATGCCATGCATAAAATCCACAGCACTGAACAGCTGTGTCATTCTGAGAAATCATTATCAAGAGCCAATGTGTTTCTTTCTGACATTTAAGGTTAAAACAAAATACTGGGCAAGGAAATGGTAGCACAGTGACAATCAGTGCCAAAACATTTACTGGGTTTCAGTTTAAGGTTGGTTAGACATTTTCAAAGTTGTGTTCTAAATGTGTCCTTCCTGAGGGAAAGCTCTGAGCCCACCTCTACTCTAACTATACTTTAAATTATGAGGAAAAACTTAACTGCAGCAATTACCTCAGCTACAGCTTTCTTCCGAATACGCTACTCTAGTTCTGACGACCATCGTCATCAGGAGACATTAGACATTCACAAACTTTAGGCTGTTTGATCAGTATAAAAGTTGGTCTTTGACTTAGTTGGAAGATGCTATGATGAGAAGCAGCTAAGGGATTTAGAAAGTCCATTAAATTTACACTCAAAAGAACTTGATTCAATTCAATTCCCAAGGCATGTGAGCCAGAGCAGTTCACTTCATGTCTCCAAACTTCAGTTTTCTTTTCTGTAAAGTAGGAATAATAATGTAGGCATTTTTAAAAAACAAGCCCATAGATCCAATAGGATACCTGACTGAGAACACATAGTAAAATTATAAAGAACTATTGCAGATTCAAGTATTTATTCTTATTATAAAATGGCCAACATTCACCTTTGCAAAAAGAACATTTTACCTTTATGACTCATTCTGCTTCTATGCCTAAAGGGTGCTCTAAACTTTTCAAATCCAATTGGAAAAGAAAAAAAAAAATCCAACTATGCAAAAGTTACTTAGAAAATAAGATGAACACATGGTACATGCTTTTTTCCCTCACAGTCAACCTGAATGAGTAAACCTAAAGTCTTCTCATCAAAATTAGAAGGAAAACATTTGTCTACAAAAAACAAGGCAACTTTCATGAGCTAGCTTAGTTTCTTACAATAAAACTGATATTACATCTAGTATAAATTACAAAAAAGTTGTAGTTCTTTGAAATATACTATAACTTATTAAGTGCATGTTTTAGGTGTTAAAAGCAATTAAAAATCTGTATTCAGTGTAACTTGCATAGTTCAGAAGGCTATGGTCATTCAAGTTATCTTATATTTCATCCTCATATTGCCACTTTTAACTTTTAGAATCATTTTCAATATTAAAAACTTCATTGTATGACATAATTCCTAAAAAACTAGAGAGAGCATACTAACAATTTGCTTTGATATTTGCCTTTTCATCATTCCCTTCCCAAATCAACTGATAACATGAATTATGTTATACTCTTCTAGACGATGATGCCCTCGTCATTTAATTACTGAAGGTTTCAAGGGCTAGTTAGAGACATTGTTTATTTTTTTGTTAAAAAAGAAAAATAGCTGTTTTAATTATCTCAGTGCTGAAATTTAGCTTGAAGAATTTTATACCAGGAAAACCAACTCCCTTATTCTTAGCACATAACCTTGACTGTCTTCTAAATCTCTGATTTCAAAATAAAACTTTTGAATGCCCACTGGAGTCATTACCCAAGGGCTTTCAAGATCCAGAGTGTTTCTTAGCAATATATGCTGTTCAAACAGTATGTGTCCAGATATGACAGTGCTACAAAAACCTTTTTTTTTTTTTCCTGTCAATGACTCACTTTATTCAAACAGATAATTAGGATTTAGATCCTACTGGAGACAAAAATCTAATTATTCTCTGTATATGTCAGTTTCTTCTGCAAAGATTTAGTCTTTAGAACCTACCTATCTCCACCTCAGTTAATCCACAAGGAATAATTTGGTGAAAGAAAGCCTAGCCATTGTCTGATTACACTACATGAATATTCCTCGTCCTATTTAACTCTTTGAAGTCCCCAGTCCTCGGGAAATATTCTATTTTTAATGCCAGCATTTTGCACTTTCTTTACCCTAATGCATTTACAGCTGGCTGGAGGGCCAGCACACTCCCATAAGGCTGGCTGGACAGTTCTCTCTCAGCCACACCCCCCCACCACCCAGAAGAAGTTGACTTCATAATTTCCACACCAAAATTGTCCATCCTGCCCAACAGGAGACAGCCAAGGTAGAGGAAATAGGAGAAGGGAGAGGGTGGGGGTGGAAAGCAAAAGGTAGGGAACAGCAATTGACAAGGAGGGAATTTGCATCTCATCTTCCCTGGGGGCGGGGTGGGGCCGGGGCTGGGGAGGGGGAAGGGGGAAAAAAATAAAGCAGGTGGGAAACCGTGTAACTCAAACACAGTCTCTGTACCTAATGTCTGTAATTTCGGGTCCCGCTTCTTCAATTGAGCAATGACAACCGCAGTCTCAGGCTTGACGAGAGGGGAGGCTCACAGCCGGCACTCCTGGACCATTTCCCTAGCAACGGGAGGAGAAAAGCAGCTTAGACACTCGGTGCCCCGGCGTTCTCCCGGAACGTGCCCCGGCTGGCTGGCCTGGCAGCAGCTCGGCATCTTCCCGCGGCTCCGTCAGCAGCCAAAAGGAGAAGCGTCCATCGGAAAAATGGCATATTACAAATTTTGCTTTGGGAAGCAGAGCTCGGTTCAGACCATTGTCAGAGGGAGGAGGGGGGAGGCGGCTCTTAAAGCAGCAGCGACCCGTTTGCCGGAGCAGCCGCAGCTCCTCGCGGGCAGCGGGAGACCCGGGGCGGGGAGTCGGCGAGTGGGGACTGGGTTTGACTTGTAGAAACTTAACCAAGCGGCGCTGCTCCGCGACCGGGCCACCTGGAGGGTGTCACCCCCAAACGTGAGCTTTGGGAAGAGGTGTGAAGAGAATCTGGAAGGGAATTTCTCCAACCAGCCCCCGACCCGGAGCCCCTCTGGAGTTTATGGCTACCTCCAGGAGTTGAAAAGCTAGAGGGAAGGGAGGGCAGAGCCCCTCCTGGCCCCCAGCCTATTTCCAAGCGAAGGGTGTCTTATTTCACTTAAAAGAGCTGCTGCTTCTCCAGAAGGGCACTCAGTCAGAACCCCCACGCCCAGCTTCGCCTCCCAGCCTCTTTGCTGGCACCGGTTGGCCGGGAGAACCAACCTGCTGGGCGCCAGTGCGGATGCTACGGCATCTTCCTACTTGCCTGTGCTGTGGACGCTGCCGCCCCTCCTCCTCCGTCTGTCTCCCCCCGCCTCCACCCCCTTCCTCCTTGGCAGCGCCACCTCCTCTTCCTCTGAAACAAGGGCTTCCCCTGGAAGCTGGTGCAGTGGTTTCCACCGGCCCTTAAATAAATTCTGAAGTAATCACGTCTTTGCTCTCCTCCTCACGTACACGCGCTCGCGGATACACACGACTCCCCCAAAGCTGCTGAGGCTCGCGCTGGTCCCAGTGCCCCCAGCAAAGGCAGGGGCGGGGGCCGGGCAGGTGTGACGAGGCGGGTGTGTTCCTCCTCGCCCGGGCGTCACGCACAATGGTCTCCACAGGAAGACGTGTGTTGGCCCGTGCTGCTAGGGACAGAACAGGCTTGGGCATCTTCTGGCTCTCTGGCCTTCCGTGCTTGTCATTTCTTTAGCGGCTTCCTTCTCTCAAGACCAAGGGCATGGTACTCGCAGCAGTAGAGACCGGAGTCAATCTAGGGTGTGGCGGCATCTGTCACTTCTCATTACCTCTCCAGCTCTTTTCCATTCATAGCTTTGGAGATGAGAATTGCGTGTTAAGTACGCCCTGCCAGAGTACATTTTAGCTTTGAGCGGTCTGCTCCCTGGATCTTTTCCAGCTCTCTCATACCTGCACACCCCTTAACATACTCTCCTTTCTTCTGCCCCTGCTGTCCATTCTTACAGACCCATCAGGGACAGAGAGGAAGCCGAAGACAAAACTGTACCTGCTCTAAACAAGAAGGAAAGGTTTCAGTAAGGGAAATTGAGATATCCTAGTTTTAGTATAAGGAAGAGGATATGCAGGAAGGAATTGGGAGAAGGGTTCAACATTGTGTATAATTTGGAAGTTAGTACAAATACTCTTATGATGTAGTGCAATAAATCCAAAAGATATGTTTCACTTTTGTGTTAGGCAAACAGTCCAAAGCTAACTGTAGAAATACTATTCAAATAACAGCTCACTTACATTAGGTACAGTATTCAAGAAACATACCATTTTATGTTAGGGGTAGCATTTAATTGAGTTGATGACCTCACAGTAGAAAGTGAGCTCAAGCTCACATATTTTACCCCCTTCTCTTCTAGACTGTTACTCAAATTCTGCATCACAACATAATCCTATTAGAATTAAGTATTAGAGTAATGTAAAGAGTCATTAGATGTCAACTGGAGCACTGTTTCTCAAACACAGCGTACTTATTGCTGTTGTTTAGGTCACCAAGTCATGTCCAGCTCTTTTGGGACCCCACGGACTGTAGCAGGCCATGCTCCTCTGTGCATGGGATTTCCCAGGCAACTATAATGGCTGTCATTTCCTTCTCCAGGGGATCTTCTCCAACCCAGGAATTGAACCCATTTCTCCTGCATTGGTATGCGGATTCTTTACCACTGAGCCACCCCAGAAGCCCCATAGATCACCCATGGATCTTGTTCTATTGTAGACTCTGACTCACTTGGACTAGGGTGGACCCTGAGATTCTGCACCAGTAACAACTCCCAGATGAAACTATACTTTGGGTAGCAAGGATCTCGATCACCCAATCAACCTACCATTTGATGTTGACTTAAATATTCTTAACCACAGGAAAACTCATTAAGTCACAAAGCAGCCCAGCCCATTTTCAGATAGATCTAATTTAATAACAGATTTCTCATACTGATCATATATCAGTACTCATAATTTTCACTATCTGGAATTCCCCCAGAAGATATAAAATGTTCTTTATACCTCAGAAACGTTCTAATTTTTAGAGACAGTTGAAACGTCTCTTTGTACAAGAATTTCTTCCTTCCTTATAATTTCTTTGGTAATCAACATTTGCCAAATATAGCCACAAAGTTGTTATTAATAGTATTTCCAAGAAAAGTCTTGATTTGTCTAATTCCTATTCATTTAAGAAGTACAAATATTAATTCTAAATATAATGCCCACATACAGTTGACACAACAGAGTTGAAGGCCAACTAAGAGTTGATAGCACAAAAGAGAACAATTTGATAATGGATGGCAGGAAACATATAGTAAAGAATATTTTACAGAGAATAAATTGTCTTTATGGTCATTCTCAGCTTAGAAACTGTATGTTCTCACATTCTCACCCTTAAAACCCCTGTGTAATAAGAGTGCAAATAATATTTAGGTGATATAGTCAACCCTACACTAGTTTTAATCTGGTGGATCTCAAGTTTAGCATACAAGAGAATCTCTAGAGCGATGGTTACAGAACAGATTTGGGGGGCCCATCCCTAAAGGTTCAGATGTGCCCAAAATGCTACTGGGGAAGAGCACAGAAATAGTTCCAGAAAGAATGAAGAGGCTAAGCCAAAGTGGAAACAGGCCCAGTTGTGGATGTGTCTGGTGGTGTGAGTAAAGTCTGATGTTGTAAAGAAAAATATTGCATAAGAACCTGGAATGTTAGGTTCATGAACCAAGGTACACTGGAAGTGGTCAAATAGGAGATGGTAAGAGTGAGCATCAACATTTTAAGAATCAGTGAACCAAAATGGACAGGAATGGGCAAATTTAATTCAGATGACAATTGAATCTACTACTCTGGGGAAGAATCCCTTAGAAGAAATGGAGTAGCCCTCATAGTCAACAGAAGAGTCTGAAATGCAGTACTTGGGTGAAGTCTCAAAAATGACAAAATGATCTCAGTTCATTTCCAAGGCAGGCCATTCAGTGTCACAGTAATCCAAGTCCATGGATAAATAGGCAAATGAAACTGAATTTGACTGGTTCTATGAAGACCTACAAGACCTTCTAGAACTAACACCAAAAGAGATGTCCTTTTCATCATAGATAATTGGAGTGCAAAGTAGAAAGTAAAGAGATACTTGTATTAACAGGCAAGGTTGGTATTGGAGTACAAAATGAAGCAGGGCAAAGGCTAACAGATTTTTGCCAAAAGAATGCACTAGTCATAACAAAAACCCTCTTTCAACAACTCAAGAGAGAGCTCTACACATGGACATCACCAGATGGTCGATACCAACGTCAGATTGATTATATTCTTTGTAGCCAAAAATGGAGAAGCTCCATAGAGTCAGCAAAAACAAGGCTGGAACTGACTGTAGGTCAGATCATGATGAGATCCTTATTGTGAAATTCAGACATAAAGAAACTAGGGAAAACTACTAGGCCATTCAGGTATGACCTAAATCAAATCCCTTATGATTATACAGTGGAAGTGACAAATAGATTCAAGAGATTAGATCTGATAGACAGAGTGCCTTAAGAACTATGGACAGAGGTTCATACCATTGTATAGGAGGTGGTAACCAAAACCATTCCCAAGGGGGGAAAAAATGCAAGAAGGCAAAGTGGTTGTCTGAGGAGGCCTTACAAATAGCTGAGAAAAGAAATGAAAGGCAAAGAAGAAAGGGAAAGATAAAGCCAACTAAATGCAGAGTTCCAGAGTATTGCAAGGCAAGATAAGAAAGCCTTCTTAAGTGAAGAATGCAAAGAGATAGAAGAAAACAATAGAATGGAAAAGACTAGAGATCTCATAAAGAAAATTAGATATACCAAGGAAATATTTCATGCAAAGATGGGCATAATAAAAGACAGAAACAGTAAGGACTTAACAGAAGCAAAAGAGATTAAGAAAAAGTAGAAAGAATACACAGAAGAACTATACCAAAAAGGTGTTAATGACCCAGATAACAGTGATGGTGTGATCATTCACCTAGAGCCAAACATCCTGGAGTGTGAGGTCAAGTAGGCCTTAGGAAGAATTACTACAAACAAAGGAGGTGATGGAATTCCAGCTGAGTTATTTCAGGTCCTAAAAGATGATGCTGTTAAAGTGCTGCATTCCTTATGCCAGCAAATTTGGAAAATTCAGCAATAGCCACAGGACTGGAAAAGGTCAGTTTTCAATCTAGTCCCAAAGAAGGGCAATGCTGAAGAACATTTCAACAACTGTACAATTGAGCTCATTTCACTTGCCAGGAAGCTAATGCTCAGTCTTTTAAGCTAGGCTTCAATAGTATGTGAACCAATAACTTCCAGATGTACAAGCTAGATTTAGAAAAGCCAAAGGAATGAGAAATCAAACTGCCAACACCCATGGATCATAGAAAAAGCAAGAGAGTTCCAGAAAAACATCTAATTCTGCCTCAGTGACTACCCTAAAGCCTTTGACTGTATGGATCACAATAAACTGTGAAAAATTCTGAAAGAGATGGGAATACCAGACCACCTTACCTGCCTCCTGAGAAATCTGTATGCAGATCAAGAAGCAACAGTTAGAACTGGACATGGAACAACTGACTTGTTCCAAATTGGGAAAGGAATATGTCAAGGCTGTATATTGTCACCCTTACTTATTTAACTTATATGCAGGGTACATTTTGGGATGTACCAAACTAGGTGAATCACAAGCTGGAATCAAGATTGCTCAGAGAAATATAAATAGCCTCAGAAATGCAAATCAGACCACCCTAATGGTAGATAGTGAAGAGGAACTAAAAAGCATTTTGATGAAGATGAAAGAGGAGAGTGAAAAAGCTGGCTTAAAACTCAACACTCAAAAATGAAGATCATGGCATCCAGTCCCACCACTTCATGGCAAATAGATGAGGAAACAATGGAAAC